TGGGGGGTGAGGGCGACACGCCGAAAGCCGGGGCTCCCCGGTTTGGGAGGAGGAGGAGGGTGCCCGGGCTCCGCTGAACTGCGTTGCCGCGCTTCCTGGCTAGCTGAAGGGCTTGTCTGTGCTTGATAGCACTTGTTACTTCTCCTTTCTCCTATGTTGGGGGAGGGAGGGAAGGTGAGGTACTTTCTATTTAAAACCAGCAGTGTTTGTCATCTCTATCCAGGTGAATTAACCCACGCTGGAAGGAAGCATGACACTCACGTTGCCTTTTGTAATCTGGGAAGGCTGTGGATGGATGTGTGCATCATCGCGGGAATTGCTTTGTCGGTCACCTTCACTGTTGTCCTGCTTTGCTTACCTGGCCACCTTCCGCACCCTTCCCCTCCCAAATTTTGTGCTCCCTACTGCAGCATGACCAAGCATTGCCCTTTTCAGCTTTTTCCAGCTGCACCCTCTCACAGTTTTGTTCCAGCTTGAAGTGAGTTTGTGCACCCAGAGTCACCTCTGAGTTAAAGTGCACGTGAGCTGAAGCCCTGATTTCCAGGCCTTCTTGGGAGAAAAGTGTGGCTAGTGCTATCTCAACAGGGGCCATCACATCACCTCGTTTGACAGAGTCAGAGCATACGAGGGAGCGATGGCAAGCTCTGATCCGTAGGGATGTGAAAGACCAGTAAGCCTCAACAGCAGGAACGATGAGGTTTCTGGGAGCCTGCTAGAAACTGGCAGTTGCCAGATAGGCTCCTGTATGCTTGTCTTCCGTGTTATTTGCTCTACTGCAAATGCTAATTGAAAGTTTGCTTTGGCTTGCCCAGCTCCTGGGAGTCTCCTGTGTGCTCCTGGTGGAGGAACAAGCTGACCTGCAGCGGGAGCGTGACAGCAGTGCTCCACAGGCAATCTCTTCCAGTAACTACTGGGCTCTTGTATGCAGCTCCTCTGTATGTGAAGGCTACAGGTGTAGTCAATCTTGTTTTATTATTTCCTCTCCCGCCTCCATGAAATCCTTATTGCAGAAACATCTGCATCTTTCACTACAGTGAACCAGCTTTCAAGCAGGAGCTTAACTGTTTCCCTGAATAGATGCGTAAGTCCTCCCCCACTGTCTCTGCAGAAGGTTTGCTTGTTCCTTCTCCTGCCTCGCTTCCCAAAGCTTCTTGTCTTGCTCTCCCTGAGGTGTGCAAAACACCTGGCAGTAATATGATGAGACAGATCTCACCTGGCAGCTTCCAGTGTTGATCTGCTGTGCACCTCCCTCTACCATGTCTCCCAGTATCATCATGGAACTGCTCCAAATGCAGCTTTAAACTTGTCTTTTCACCTGTCCAAATCCCTTGCAACAGAGCGAGGGAAGTGGAAACTGGGTCTTTGAGCTTAATAAGAGGAAATTCAGTGTTGTGTACATCTGTAACAGCACAGTGGGCAGGGATTCCTCTTCCCCTCATAGAGTGTGGCCTCGAGTTTGAGGATCTTGCTGTTCAGACCTTTATAGGCCATCTTTAGTAGTCGTAAACCTTTCCTAGTTATCAGCTTGTGTCCAAGACCATGCATATCCCTAAACAGTCTATCTGCTGCTGGGGAGCCTGTTTTTGAAAGATGTGTTAGGTGTGATAAGCAGTGTTTTTCTAGTCAGTAGTCACATAGCAGGGGACACTCAGGTGGCAGGAAGAGCTAAGAGCAGTGTAGCACAAGAATGATGTGATGTGATTGTGGAACCTTTGTTAAAGGAGGGGCAGAAGTACCTATTGGGGATGACACAGGTACAGCTGATCCTGCCTTGAACAAGGTGGCCTCCTACAAGTTTATGATCCTGCACTTTCTGTGCTCTGCCAAACTCTCGTTTCTGTGCTGGAGCTTCTTCCTGACAGTCCTGTACCTTCACATGTGCAGCAGTTTCAAAAGACCGTTTAGCAGCACCAAAGTAGTTGGATATTAACTGACAGCAGTAGGACGTGGCAGAAGATATGTGGGAACTTTCTGAATCGACATATCTCTTTGAAACGTATTGTTTGTTGAAATTATAACTATTTATAACTACTTGTGGGAAAAATTCCAAATTGCTGAGTAATCCTGGTTTTGTAAGAAAGGTTATCTTTTCAATATAAAAAAAATTGAAAGATTCAGTGAGAAAAAAAATATTTAGGAACAAAGTTAACTGATGAGTTAACTCACTTAGTTCACTCAATTTTTTGCCTGTTTTTAAAAAAAGCTGTAAGACCATGACAATCCCCATGATTAAGGTGTGTATAATGCTTCAGTTCTAACTCCAGAGCATGGGCTCATTGCTTTCAGAGCAGGTGTTCTGTTTCGCTTGATGTAAGAGAAGATGTAAGCTAAACTAATTTTCAGGTCAGGCATGCCCTAGGCATGGAGTTAACTGGGACAATTAGTCTGGATGTAATCATGCCCTTACTGCTTTTACTTTCTGTGTAGGATCAGAAAAAGTTACTTGTGACTATAGAGCCACTCCAGCACAAGGAAATCTCCATTGATCTCAAAGATTTCTCCTTCAAAGGAGAAGCTTTCCTTTCTCTGTTTGTGAGTCTCCCAAGTTGAAATTGTCACGCATGCACCCCAACAGCTGTTGAAACTCTGGAAAAAATGCTGTTGTTAAAATTG